ACTTTGCATGTTTCTCTTTTATTATATTAGATATGACCTTGTCTTATACATTAATTTCTGTAACATATTTTCAGTGTATCTTTTCCCTTTAGTAAATGTGATACTCAAATAAAATGGTGAATGTGTGTGTAGCGTTTGAGAGCTGGAACATTTTCAGAGTAAAGCACTGGTTTCCCCTTCTGACATAAGTGATTCAACTACAGTAGTGGCTGATTTCTGTAAACTTCAAAGGACAGTCTCAGTATTTGCCTTTAAACAGCCATGCTATAAACTCTAAACTATATCTGCCTATGACAATGAAAACACCAGGCAAGGGAAAAGAACTTAAATATTAGCTTTTTGCTCAAAAGTTTTATTTTTTAAATGTGTTTAGCAATCCACAGGGGAAGAGAAAATGGTTATTATACAGAATTTCTTTATGGTGAATGAACCAGGTAACGGTAGGCAACGGGTCAATATGGTTTTATTTCAGTATTTACTCAAGTTTTAAATATAATCATATAAAAAAAACAGACATTTCAAAAAGTGCAAAATATTACAAAGCTAATCAGTGCTATTAATCTTTCCATGCAAACAATACCAATTCTGGAGTTGAGCCTATGTATAAAATGGTACTCTACCAGAGTGTTAAAATAGGCTTGGTCAAGAGATTGCACATGACACAACAGAAATAGTGCAAATAATACACAACTAAAATCCCTCCCATTGAGGTGCCAACAATAATCAAGGCTCAACTACAGGAGGTATGCAGCCCACACAGGGGATGCACCTGGAGTGCCCACTTGAGTGATCGAGGAGGCTATGCCACTGGACACTATAGGAAACCCACTGCATTAAGCCACTCTACAAAGCCTGAGAGAGGTAGCAGCTCTACTTAATACATAGAAACAAACACAAGGAAACTATCAAAATGAGGAGACAAAGCAATGTCCCAAATGAAAGAACAAAACTCCAGAAAAAGAACTAAACAAAATGGAAACAAGAAATCTAGATGCCGAGTTCAAAACACTGATTATAAGGATGCTCAACTAACTTAGAACTTCAGCAGCATGAAAAACGACATGGAAACCATAAAAAAAGAACCTGTCAGAAATGAAGGATATACTAACTGAAATGAAGAATAATTACAGGGAATCAACAACAGAGAAGAAAAAGCTAAGAATCAAATCAGCAATTTGGACTATAAGGAAGCAAAAAACACCGGATCAGAACAGCAAAATAATAATCCAAAAAAATGAGAACAGTGTAAGGAGCTCTGGTACAACTTCAAGCATACCGACAGTCGCATCATGGGGTGGCCAGAGGAGAAGAGAGAGCAAGAACTTGAAAATCTGTTTGAAAAAAATGACAGAAAACCCCTAACCTGGTAAAGGAACTAGACACACAAATCCAGGAAGTTCAGAGAGTTCCAAACAAGATGGACCCCAAAAGACCCACACCAAAGCACATCATAATTAAAAAGCAAAAGGTTAAAAACAATCTTAAAGGCAGCAAGAGAAAAATAGTTACCTACAAGGGAGCTCCCATAAAACTGTCAGCTGATTTCTCAACAGAAACTTTGCAAGCCAAAAGGGATTGGCAAGAAATATTCAAAGTGATGATCATATAAAGAAGCACTCTCCAGGCAAGAAAAAGCTAAAGAAGTTAGTCACCACCAAACTAGTATTACATGAAATGGTAAAGGGTCTTCTGGGGGAAGGGGGAGGAGGGGGAAAAAAAAAAGACCAAAATTGAACAATAAAATGGCAGGAATACTTAACCTATCAACACTTGAATCTAAAAAAACAAACAAGCAGAACAGAAACAGACTCATAAATACAGAGGACATTTTAATGGTTGCCAGATGGGAGAGGGGTTGAAGGGATTAACAAGTATAAACTGGTAGTTACAGAACAGGCATGGGGATATAAAGTACAGCATAGGGAATATAGTTAATAATAGTCTGATAGCTATGTATGGTGTCCTATGGATACGAGATTTATCAGGATGGTCACTTAGTAAACTATAGAATGTCTAACCACTAGGTTGTACACCTGAAACTATTGTATGTCAACTAATTTAAAAAATGATTAACAAGATATACAACTAAATAAAAGACTTAAGTCAAGCTTATTGGGGTTCCCAAGTTGAGGAATGGGAATCCTTTCATGGGCCAGCATGCCAGGGCCCCCAAGTTCCTTTGTTCAAGACCTGGCCCTATGAAATCTCTTCATCTGGCTGTTAACTGAACAAGAAATAAGCATATCTGATCTTTCTGGAGATTTGGGAAGTTGCAAAAAATACAAAGAAGAAAAATGGTCATGTTAATAAGACCCGAGGCTTCGTACCTAAGGCTGCTGCTGACCAGACCTAATCGTCTTTAGGGCTTATGAGTAAGGCAGTGGACATGCAAGGAAGGAGAGAGGCAGGTCTGGATGTTCTTATGTTGACAGCTGAATGCAAAAGCAGCCAGATGGAGACGACGCACAAGGCCAGGGTGGGAAGGGATGGGGAACTTCCATGCCCTCTCCTGGCGCACCACTCCCTGCACTGCACCTCCACGTGTTCACCAGCCCAGCAGTTCTCTGAATCAAGTTAAACTTGCTATGTCAGGTGTTATTTAAGAGTATATTTGACATCCATTTGGTCATCATTTTTTAATGTTTCACTGTTATTTACAGCCAGAAAGGCATCCATTGCCTTACTATACTGCTTCAAGATTAGAATGCTTATTTGTATTATCCTCTAGATGTTTAACTTTTAGAATAGTTTTTTTAAATGAAATATGTTCCCTAAGATGCTAGTGAATTAAAATGTAAATATGGTAACTTTGTATAATTACAACCAGTACAGAGATGACTGGTTTCATATGTAGTCCTGTGAAACAATTAACCTTTACTGACAGTATTACTTCATTAAGGATATCCACTGATTCAACTACTAAGAACAGACGGAAACTAAGAGACAATAATTTTGCTACCCACTCAAACTTGCCTTATTCAGCAGATGTTGAAATTGGTAAATTCTAAAAATACTTAAGAATTTCTAGCTCTAAGTTATTTGCCTTCATTACTTTTCTTTATAAAGCTATACAATTACATAAATATTTGTTTCCAGAGGAAAAAATCAAGCTTATTACCCTCTATAATATATAATCATGATAACACCATAGGTGGATAGACAACATATAAAGCTCTTTTACAGTTACTGCCCCACACCAGCAGGATAGAAACATTTCTTATAACAAGCCGTGGTTTATCCAGCTATCCAGAGTTGTGCCGTTCATCTTTGGTTATACTCACTCTTGCTTGTCCTTTGGTTTACTTCTAAATAGTACCAATTCTGCTGATATGAAGGGCAAAAGCTTCCCCTCTAATATATATTGAATGCTACTTAATTCTCAACCCTTATTTCAAACTCAGAATTTACATACAAAGCAAATAAAGTATTCAATATTATCTGAAACTACTTAGTGGGTTAGTCATCATTAGTCTATAAAAGCGATGGGCAAAGAAAGGCCAGGCTCTGACCTATACCCCAACCTCACCTCTACCATCTCTAGATGACAGTAATTAACTTTCCCCTTCCTTTTTTCTTCAGAAAGGGATAAACACTGCTTTCCAAGGGATGGCTTAAGTGAATGTTAAATGCCAGTGCTTTCACAATACCTTGCTACCTTTATTAAAAACAAACAAAAAACAGCTTGCCTGGCATGCCACTCAATGGCCTGTGGAAATCTGAGAGGAGTGTATCACAAAGAACACTGCAAAGACAATGACAAACTGACCAATGAGAAAGACAGTGGTGAGTAGATGCCTTGGAAAAAAATCAGTCACATTCACCCATTTTCTTCAAGGTACATCTCACTTTGCATGTTCTGACACTGACTCTGGAGTAGCTGTTCCTTGACTACTGCATAGCCAAACCTACCTGCTCAACCAATACTGCCTGTGCCATGAGCCTTTTAAATAAGCACTCTGGTGTATGGGTCCCTAAGTAGGCAATGATGTTCACAAAGTGTTTTTAAAGAGGACACACAATACTACCTTCGTTCAAGTTAATATGGCAGGTGACTTACACAAATTATATTTCACCATAAATGCAAGAGTAAAATTTTACTTATTCAAGGCTGTATAATTTCAGGTTTGTCAGCCTTTATAGCTTTACCCTCAACTTAAGAACAGAAGCTACTACCAAATAATAAATCAGACTTCATCTAGAGATATAGCATCTTTGCTTTATAAAGGTGCACCAAATGTGAACTAAATTGTCCACTTTAGACTCTCAGAGGAATCCAAACAGCTGGAAAAACAATGAACAGCATAGCATCAGTGATTCCTAACAATAAACCTGTCACTCAGCTGTAGAGAGTAAGTAATAATTTCTTCAAGTTACATTTTAGTCTTTCTTTTTTTTTTTAAATATATTTTATTGATTTTTTACAGAGAGGAAGGGAGAGAGATAGAGAGTTAGAAACATCGATGAGAGAGAAACATCGATCAGCTGCCTCCTGCACACTCCCCACTGGGGATGTGCCCACAACCCATGTACATGCCCTTGACCGGAATCGAACCTGGGACCTTTCAGTCCGCAAGCCGACGCTCTAGCCACTGAGCCAAACCGGTTTCGGCCATTTTAGTCTTTCTTCATACAGAATTCATAGAAAAGAAAAGATAGCTCAACAGAATTGGACTGCCCAACAGTCTTTTCCATATCCATTTAGACATAGCCTTCAATGCAGAGAACACTAGTGAGAGAAGAATGTACCCCAATTACCTGCTGAATCTCAACAGTGTGCTTCCAAACTAAAACATTTCCTAGAAAAAATTTTACCAACCCAAAACAAATCAAACTCAAAGCAGATTTACTACCATCTCAAGTGATAGGCAATAAAGTCTGGTACCTATATAATGTCAACAAAGAATTAAGGACGCAAACCACCCCCAGCTATAAAGAAAGAATGGCAAGTATTTATATGAAGCCAGTAGTAAAAAATAATAGGGTGTCTTTCCTTTGCTTTTCCACTCACTTCCAAAATGGAAGATTATCTTCCAAAGCCCCCAATGGTGAGCGACAGGCAACATGCAAGAAATGACGCAGCTGAGGAGAGGAAAACTCCAGCAACAAACAGGTGGATTTTCTGTTGAAGGACCCCTCAATGTCCATCTAGGGAGAAAGGGGAAAAGAAGTCACCATGTAGGCACAACTGGAAGGCACCAAGGGAGAATGCCAGAACCTAATAAATACTATATCCCTTCCCCCTGGCCAGCCAACCTCCTACGGTCCCTTCCCCCGACCGGCCAACCTCCCACAGTCCCTTCCCCCCACCAGCCAGCCCCCCCAATAGGCCTCAATCACTGGCCAGGCCAAGGGACCCCACTGTGCAAGAATTTGTGCACCGGGCCTCTAGTTAGATATAATACACATCTATAAGACCGAGTAAATCTCAGGATGGGCTGTTTGTAATTAAAATTGTAACTGTTGCCATGGTAATTCTTAGATGATCAGAACTATGAAGATTCTGAGTTTGGATCCTAAAAATGACAAGTATTATTGGGCCAAATCACTAGCAAAGCCGTGTGCACACATGCACGCTCACATACACACTAATCACAGCACTATACACCTTTTCCCCATGAATGTTAATCAGAGTCCCTTTAAAAATGAATAATAACTAAAACACTTCCTAGAAAAATTAGAGTTTAGTGACAGGGAACAGAAAAGTATATTTATAAAGAGTCCAACTCCTTAGTTCTTTATAACATGTTAATATGTAGGAACTATGCTATGTACATGACATTTAAAAACTTACATTAGACAGCCATAGAAGATTCATTTTTATTGTAAAGGCTGATCAAGGAAGATACCCTGGGTTTGATAGATTTCTTTGAGGACCAGCAATACTGTATCTTCAGACTCCCTGTAAGGAGAAAAAAATTATGTTGTAAAAAGAAGGAACTAACATTTATACTAGATGCTTTACATATATTAACTCAATCTATGCAACACCTTGCAAATTCATCTTTTTACTATTGCAAAAAGTCAGACTCAAAGGTTATGTAATTGGCAGTGGTTTGGAAGTCTAGCATTACCGGTATGTCCAGTAATATAAAAAAAACTAGCAATAAATAACCAAGAACTATTCCCTTTTTAAAAAATACATTTTTTATTGATTTCAGAGAGGAAGGGGAGAGATAGAAATATCAATGATGAGAGAGAATCATCAATTGGCTGCCTCCTGCATATCCACCACCAGGGATCGAGCCCACCACCCAGGCATGTGCCCTCAGAATCAAACCATGATCTTCTAGTTCCGTGATCAGCAAACCACGGGTCGCGAGCCACATGCGGCTCTTTGACCCCTTGAGTGCGGGCGCACACGTACAGTGCAATTGAAACTTCGTGGCCCATGTGTAGAAGTCGGTATTTTGTGGAAGAGCCGGTATTTTGTGAGAGTCACGCTCAAGGGGCCAAAGAGCCACATGTGGCTTGCGAGCCGCGGTTTGCCGTGCCGCAGTTTGCCAACCACTGTCCTAGTTCATAGGTCAACAACACTCAGTATTGAGCCCTACCAGCCAGCAAACTGTTCACCCGTTTGCCCTAGGAGCTGTGTCTATAAAGATATTGCTATGACATGTCTGCTATTTTGCTGTCTATGGAATCTTATAGGATTTTTATGGTTTCCCATCTTACA